CAGAAACAAGCCCTATAAATAAAAACTAAAAGATTAGAAGACTGAGCTTGTATATGAGAGCCAGGTGGAGAAAGGGGAGAAGCTTCCCTCTTCCAATTTCATCCTTTTGCAGTAGTAAAATAGATGTCAAGGTCACGGAAAGGATGTTGCTGTAGATTTTTAGGGTGACCATCTCTTTCTTCAAGCTTTCAATCCATCTTAGTTCCAGCCTGGACTGGCTGGGCAATTGAGATATATTAGAAATTCTGTAGAGATGCTGTATATCTGCTGCTTCTTAGTCTTCTAACTTGTACTGACTAAATTGGCTTAATTTTGATCCTGAGGTCCCCTCAAATTAATGGGATTAATTAACTGAGCTAAGATGGATTCAGAAAAGTTCTGGATGACTTTCCTACTGATATGGCTCAGGCACTTAAAAGCAGTGGGTCTTCAGCCCTAGATGAGTGGCCATTTAGCTTTTTATGCTCTGTTATATTGATTTTAACTGTTTTTTTTTTCCTGACTCCAAAACTTATAAACCCTGCCCCTGGTTTATATGTTTTGGAGGTTTTGTGTGTGTGTATGTGTATGTGTATGTGTATGTGTGTGTATACACACACACACACATACATATACTCACACAACCTCCAAAACATATAAACCAGGGGAGTTATACTATATATATATAGTATAAATACCATACAACAGTATTAATGAAACAGTATTAACTTCAAAGTTAATAATAATAATAATAATAATAATAATAATAATAATAATAATAATAATAGAAAAAGGAGATTGGAAAATTATTTTATAAATGAAAGAATACCAAACACTTTGACCATATTGCTCAAAATTCTTCTTTCTTTCCCCTTTGTTAGAGAAACAAACAATTCCTTCCTTCACTCTGGAATACAAAATGTCCCAGCAGTTGACGCAATCAGGTCTAAATGCCACCTTCTTGGCAGAGCCTTGGTGCTCCTTAGTATAATCTGGCGCTGAAGGTAGAAAAGCAAGCAGAGTAGCAAGTAGAATGCAACGGAGGAGCCATGGACCAAATCCGGTCAAATATAGTGGAATAGCCGCAGGGTCATCAAAGAAAGCTTCATTTGTCACCTCCACTGCATCTTTATGGTGTTATCCAGCAGAGTTTTTCTGTGTGGTGGAGGGCCTTGCTCCAGAGAGAAAGATGGCGGATCTCTCAGTATTACAAAATTAGTTGCGGAAACACATGTTAGATTTACTACTGAGCCATATTCTGTATAGAATGAGTTGCCTCCTATTCTAAGTTTCGAAACTTTGCAAGTCTCAGTGCCCACTCTCCAGCCAGCTGCAAACTAGTGATAAAGTGTGTTGAGGGTGGAGAGGAGGTTGAATATATACTCGTATCGTTTGGAAAAAAAAAAGCCAAACAGGAACAGAGATCAAATGCTTTCAAGTTGAGGCCTCCTTGGCATTGTTTTTGCTTTTCTTAAATGTGGCAACAGCAACTGCTGTAAAAAGGCATCATGAAGATCACTCCGGTGACTTTTCTATCATTTTATATCTATCCCAGAATATTTCTGGTGAAAAATTCAAAATGTTATATTATGAAGCTTTAATATGACAGTATTAAGACTGGTATGTATGTATGTATGTATGTATGTATGTATGTATGTGTGTGTGTGTGTGTGTGTGTGTGT